ACGCGACCCTTAAGAGCTGTGACACTGTGTCATCTCTGTGCTGTACCGTGCTGCCCACAATAAACGGATGACACTGTCGTCTCTGTGCTGTAACACTACGCCACTTGTCCCGGCTCTCACTCCTTCACTCAGGAAACCTGTTCGGCTGTCCCCCCGGGTCGGGACAGTGAGAGATCAGCCTCAGGAAGGATTGCCATGACATAATCCCTTCTCTATTCTCCTCTCAGGTGTTCTTTACACACACACACACACACACACACACACACACACACTCGTCTGACATGAGTTTTAAGCCACTCGGTCCAGGACATGAACTGCAGTTGACTATGAGGTAATCCAGAGACATAACCATTCTACCATCTGGTGCACCCCAGGAACAGGTTTAAAACTTAAATTCAGAAGGATGTAGACTGACAGTGCTGGGGCTATAACTGCATGCAGACTCTGCCGCACCCTCCCACTGCCCCAGGTTCAAACCTGCCTATTGGTGGCATTAGTTCATGTTTAATCCCCCAAGGGAGCTCACACAACTGCCAGAGCTCATCTGGATTCTCAGCTGCCCAGATGTATCATCTGTAAGGCAGACACCAGTGAGCAAGATGTTAGAGACATCAAGGAAAATATTTGTAGCTGAGGGCTCTGGGTTATGAGTCTCAGCTGCATCTCAGGCACCTTCCTTAAGACTCAGTTGTCTATGGGAACAGCATGTGAGACAGCCCAAAATCCCAAGAGAGAATGGTGGAGAAATTGTTGCAGCATAGCCATCCCCACTGGGAGATGATTTTTCACTTTCTGTCTCTCTGTCTCTCTCTGTCTCTGTGGCAAATGTGTGCACAGTTTAGCAACACTCTCCCTTACAAAAGAAGAATAAAGAAAAGGAAAGGAATAGGAAAAGAAGAATAAGAAAATAAAAAGAAAAAATAAAGAAAAAGAAAAAAGAAAGGACTCTCTGGGCCTGTGGCTTAGCAGTTAGGGCACCCATATCCCATATGACTGGCTGTGGATCAAAGTCTACATGTGTATGCATGCCCCAAATCCCAACATGAACAAGAAAGGAAGAGAAGGAATTGTGGTGTGACCATGCCGCATGAGGGGTCCTTCCTCTGCCTCCTACCTTCATCTCCCGTCTCTTATCAGTGATCACACACAATCTCTGGAAAAACAAGAAAAAGAAAGAATCAAGTCTGGAATAATTAGAGACAATAAAATACATGCTTATAACAGAATACGGGTAAATATAAAATAATGTAAGCCTATCTAGATCCTAATGAAAAAATGTGTATTATACTGCCATTTTCATTGATTTAAAATTTAATTTTTAAAAACTTAATACCAAAGCTGGAATTGCCACTTCATAATTGAACTAGAAGAATAAACATTCACTTTCATTCATGATATAGTAGCTCTTAGCCTATTATCACAAATACTGCAACAAATAGAGAAGAAAAAAATAAGTTTGAAATCAAGTCTATAATGATATTCAGGAACTATGGAAGGAAACTGAGGAAAACCTGAAATTCAAAAAAAAGAATAGACCATGTAGGTGAACTGAAGTTTGTCTTTACTTTGTCCCTCTGTCCTGGGAAGAAGTTAGCTTGGAGAGAAAGTGACAAAAAGTTAAAGTAAAAACACAAATATTTCTGCAACTTTATTTCTACCTAGGATGTTGGAGAAAGGACATAAAGCAAAGGACTA